ATACTCCTCCGGTCCAGGATATATAATCTAATTATTAAGTTAATCTTAATCCTAAATATAAGGCTTATTTCACATATTTATCAAATTATCTTTATTAATATTTTGTCAATCATAATCAAGTAGTTAGGAGGATTGAAAATATTAAAAAAAAAATTATAGTATTTTAAAAAATATGTCATATTTTTTATAATCAACTAACTTATCTAACTTTTTAATCTAATTAAATTAATTAAATAGGTCTTGCATTAAGAAGATGAGGAGTATCTGGAAATACAGGGAAAGGAGGAAGAATGTAGACAAATAATCTGAGATCAATAGCTTGGGGCCAGGAGAATAGCGACAGGGGCAGCGCCAAGCTTTACATGCAGCGACCACGACCGCCCATACAGTTGCGAACTGAAGAAAATAAATAAATAAATATAATAATTGAGAGTGCCACAGGTGCAAACAATTATATATAAAAAAAAACAAAGATTGAGCTTCATTATATATAAAATGACAAAGATTTCATCACATTCTTATACATATAGTAGTTTTCTTGCATGCATATTTATTCGCAAAAACTTCTTTAAAAAAATGCTCTTTGAATTTCAAAAAACAAAATAGAATATCTCAAACTTCAAAATTCCGAATAAATACTCATCACTAAAATAAAAATTTGAAATGTTGCTAAATTTAATAGTATGATCCTTTATTTTTTTTAAAAAAATTCAAGTTACATAATCCTAAGACCCTTTTTTTTTTTGGAGTTAAAAAATCACTTTTTTTTTTTATTAATTTCTGATTTTGAAAATAGTTTTTAATCACTCTTGATATATTTATATAACTCAAATTAGGTAAAAGTGTGATAATCAATACTTGACAAGGTTTTGTAACCAAATATTCATGAGAACGAAATTTTACTCATCACTTTGTTATTTATCATGACCTGTACACTTGTAGTGCAAACACCTAGCTTGCAAAAGGTTTGATAATCATTGACCCACCAAGCTATTTACTATAAAAATATACAAAATAACACATAAGGTAAATATCAAAGCAAAAGGCCCTGTTAAAAATCATTTATCACACTTCCAACGGCAATAACAACACTTATGACGAGTTTCACCACTCTATCAACACTATTTAGAAGAATTTTTTTTAACCATTTCAACACTTGAAAAAAATACAAGTACAAGAGCCTCGTTATAAATCATTCACTACACTACTAATGTCATTCATAACATTTTTATAGAGTTTCACCAATTCACCAATATCATTTACGACACCTTTTTTAACAACGTGACCTTCTTATTTGTATTTATTTTCAAATGCTGAAATCGTAAAAAAAAAAAAATTGTTTTAAATAGTATTACTTCAGGTCCTTAATATAAGAGCTTATTTGATTTGATTTTGGTTTTAAATATAAGACCTCAACCCACTTTGTCTTTTATATTTATCCATTTTGTCTCAAAATAGTCTTTCTAATAATGTGAGTTCTAACCAATACACTTGATTAACAATGATATTTTAGAAAAAATAATACATATCTATTACAAATAATTAACTTAACTAGTTTTTTTTAATCTATTCAAATTAGTCAACTAGTTTTTATATTAAGGATCAAGGTAGTATTAAAAAGGTGACGAAACTTCGTAAAAGTGGTATTAAAGTTGCTAGTAGCAAGGTAAATGATTTAAAACATGATTGTCTTGTCTTTTTTTCCTCAAAAGTTAAAATTATTAAAAAAAAAAGTTGTTATATATAGAGTTGTTACAACATGCCCCAAGACACGGGTTCCTCCTTATATGGATATCACTAAAAGAGGAAGACAATAATGGAAGCTCAGCGCTGGAAAGAAGACGACAGGTTCAAATACTCAAATCGGTGATTTTAATCAAAGGGTTTAGGTGCTAAAGTAGGCACCTCGTGGAAAGAAGCTTTCCACGCGCCCAGCGACCACGGACCACCCATACAACGTAAAACAAAAAGTCCACCAAAATGAACAAAGACAATGAATGAAAGTGCCACGCGCACAAGCCATCATATATTTAAAAAAAACATTCCCATCACATGCCACAGCCTCATCTATATATATATATGTGTGTGTGTGTGTGTGTGTGAAATAACACCCCCTTCCTAATGTTACCTCTGACGTGGATCAAATACTTTAATTTTATTTAAGATATATTTAGCATCCTAATTTTTTTTTTATGTTTTCAATATCTTAATTTTATTTACGACAATACTTGCAAAGTTTCTTATGTTATATATATATGTATATATTAATATTTAATAGTATTTAGTTATGAATTCACATGAAATAAACAAAAACACATGATCAAGGTATGATTGGAGAATTGATGTAATGGGTATAAGGAACTTAACCTAAAAATTTCTTCTTTTATTTATAGTGTATTTAGAACCATAAACCATAAATAAGATCAAGGTGTTAGATGTAACTAAAAAAAATAACATCAGGATGATGGATGTATCTAAAAACTAATATATGGGTCGTAGATGCTACTTTACCCCATATATAACATTTTAATCCCTCAATATGTAAAATAGTCCAAATTTTTATTAAAATATAGAAATTAACATTTTAAACTGATATAAATTTGAAGAAGTTTGAAATTATAAACATGAAAATTAAAATAAAGATAAATTATGAAACCTAATTAACTAATCTGAATGAATTAAGGATATTAGTTAAATTAGTTAATATAACATATTCTTTCTAAAACACTATCAGTATCTTTCTTAATTTCCCCCTCACTCTCCTACTTAATTATTGTTGGGGGATATTAATAGAGTTAATTTGAAAAAAGTTTAATAAATATGTGAAATAGGTCTTACATATAGAATCAATATTAACTCCTCAATTAGGTCTTACATTAAGAAAGTTTAATAATAAAACACTATCAGTATTATTTAATTCAGATTCAGACTTACCTGACAAAATAAGGACTTTGAAAAATGGGTTGTGGATATATATATATATATATATATATATAAACATATATATAAACAAATTCCTACGCTCAGCATAGAGATATAAAGGCATTTTAACTACATCCGGTGATCATTGATTATAAAATCGTGCTTTAGTTTCTGATGGGACCATGAGCCAGGAGAAGCCGCGTGGATCTAAAGCCGAGCGGCAACACATCAAATACAGAGATGTTTTCCCCTTCTCCAGTGATCTGAACCCAGTTGCCACCGCCATAAAAGAATTACCATAGGAAGCTCCGATGACCATTGACACTTCTTCTGGCAGCGAAAACTAGTGTGACTGGCTCAGAGATGAGAGACAGCAAGTTTTTAAGGAAAAAAAAGGAAGCGCAGCTTTTTCAGTGCTATGTCACAACTCATTAACGGTGTTAGGAGAATTTTTAACTGAAGGACCTACCCATGTAACGTAGTAATAAACTACCACTCTGGTCCTTATTAGTCTGATCTTTTTACAAGCATCAAATCGAGTAATTAGTTAATAGATTCAAAATATATTTTTGTTTTCAAATATGTCATTATAATAAATGAGAAAAATGATGAAAGAAAATGTGTGGAAAAAATACGATGCGAGAAAAATAAGGGCGACAAATAACTAGCGACAACATGGAAAAAAATACATTATATTTATTAAATTTAAGACAAACCCAAATTAAAGCTTATAAATGGACTACACCTCTTTCCAAATTCAAAACTTATAAATAGGACCAGCGGGAGTATTTGTCACTTTGAGTAGTTTTTCACATGTCAATGAGAGTATTAAATAGATTAAATCTTTCAACTTTGCCCCCATTATAGAGAGTATTAAATACTAGCATATTTTTTCTCACTCATTCCCTCTTTCTTGACCTTTACTATAAGTAGTAGGAGTAGAATTAAAAATAAAGCATTAAAAAGAATACAAATGAAAAATTAAAAAAAAATCGAAATTCTTTCCTAAAGGTGACAAAATAATAAGGACCAAAGTGGTATAAGGATTCAATAATAAAAAGGAAACAAAATTAGAGGGACTCGATTCAAAATCTGACAAAACTGTAACTACCAAATTAGTTTTCTCATGTTATTACAACATACTTCAAGATAAGGTTTAATCGTGATCCCAACTCAATTATTTTAGCTCAATATTATATAATAAATCATTTACTGAAAAGCCTTTCCACACAACGACCAGAATTGAAAGTACCACGTGGACCAATAATGATTATATATACAAAAAAAGATTCCACCCATCTCATGCGATAAATATGATGGTTTTCTCACACACATGAAATCAGGTCATAAGAAAGACGAGAGCTAGCCAATAATCTATTTGGAGTCAAAGACAAACAAAAAAAGAAACAAAAAATGCAATAAACCCATTAAACAATTCCTTAGCTTATCAAAAGAAGCTAGGTTGTAACACTGAGCAACATTTTCCAAAAGGAAGTTCTCATGAAGAAAGCTTTACAATCACAATCTTGCGGTGCATAAACAAGATAAAAGACTAGAAGCTTTTTATCCTCTATATTTCAGCTTATTTTCACGGCCTCAACAGATGCATTCATCAATCTTAAGCTAGAACCATCACTTATCACTCGATTCTTAAAATTAAACAAACACCAACGACCTCTAGGTGGCACCCATCTTAAACCATCCTTGATTTCCAGCATGGTTCTTCTTATTACCACAGTAAGATTTAACTTTCCACGAAACTTGAATCACGCGGGAGAATTTTGGCTCTCACAGGAAAGAGAGTTAATTTTCCGTGGACCCAGGTCAATTTGAAAACACAGTAATCGTGCTTTCACTAGGCTCTATTTTGTCACCAAGAGATCAAGCTCAAATGACATTATTAATAAATAGTTTCATATGTACGTTTGGCCAGAAAAAGATATAGTTCCTTAAGTTTTCTGGTCGTGCGATGGCCCACAATAAGTACAATTGATTGGGGTTACAATTTTAGTACTTAGAAACTAGACTACCCCTCAGTGCAGCGATTAGCCCTAATTCATTTTGTAGATCAAAGGGTATAGAGTACGTACAGAGCTTTTATTAATAATAAAAACACACAATCTTTATTTCAAAGGAAAATCATTTGCCATTTCTTAACACCAAACACATACATCAAACGTGTACAAGACTTACAAACGTCCAACATATGATCCTTGGCTTCATTTATAATGCCTTATTACGTGAGTTACAGCTCCTCAAGAGGGGGTGCATCTGTCTCGTGCAAGTAAGTTTTGCTGAACTCTTCATAACTCATATCTGAAAATTGGTTCAAACCCAACTTGCAGTCATTGGGTGACTCTCTTTTTGCATTTTTCTCCTTGATATACTTCAAATTACTTTTGAAAACCTGAAACCTTTCTGACTCCTCTTCTTGGGTTTGATATTCTCGTTTCATCTCCTTCTTCCACATTTGAAATAGATGGGAGACTTCTTCTTCAGAAGTGAACTTATCCAGATCTAGATTCAAAATGGAATACTCATTAGGCTCATCATCAGCCACAGTAGCCCTTGAGGACCCTGCCAACCAAAAGGACAAATGGACCAGAAAGTGAGAGAAATTGAAGCATACCAAACTAAGAGAAATAAGAGAGACCCCCAACAGATTTTTTGTTTTTTAAATAAAAAAAGGGGTTAATATAAATTTTGGTCATTCAAATTTATCCTTATTTTGGTTTGGATCCCTTAAATTTCAAACTATAGGTTTTGATCCTCAAGTTTCTTTTCATTGAAATATTAGTCTCTATAATTTAATAAAAACTTAAACCATTTTATCCTGTGAGGGACCAAAATCTATGGTTTAATACTTGAAGGACTAAATCAAAATGAGAGCAAATGTAAGATACAAAGATTATATCAAGCCTTTGAAAAAAAAGAAGAACAGTCTTCTTATATATCTAAAAAATATTCAAGCACAGGGCAAGTCTTAAAGTTCAACAACACCTATGTTATTCATCGAGGCTTCTTACAACTGAAGCTCAAAAAATATGTGGCTAGAAGCAGGCATAAACGACAGCCATATAACAAGATAAAAGAAGAAGCAGGCATAAACGACAGCCACATAACAAGATAAAATTGAAAGATAAAAAAAGATGAAAAATTTCCAATTTAAATCGTCAATACTATTATCCACTAAAACCGCAGCCAACTAGATTTTCCGCCAAGACATATTAACGACAGATACTTTAGTCCCATTCACTACTCACTATTTGAGAAAATAAATATATAAATTAAAAGGAAAACAAGCTGACGTAAAGAACATGAACAATAACCTGCGGGATTATTTCCCTCTTTGGAGTTAAAACTCATGGCGATTGAATCGGTAACCAGAGTCAGAAACCAAAACCCAGTAACTCAATCAAATTTCTACTATCAGAAAAACCAAAGCCAGTCAACTGTGATCCGATCGGATGGTGTTGAGGATGGATTTCGCCTGAAGCTGAGAAAAATCGTACGGAAAAGTTGAGAATTATCGAAAGGAGGAATTTGGGAGGGGAACGATGGAAGCAGAGGGAGGTTGGGGCGGCGACTGCGAGGTTGTGAGCTCTGTCGCTCCGAGTCTCTGACGCGACGGAGGGAGGGACCCAGGGAGGCGCTGTGCTGTGACTGCGTCCAACGGAGGAGACGACAGTCGCCGATTGAGTCCACGAGATTGATATCGAGTGCCTGGATTGGGTTCTTACTTAGCATTGTCCGATATATAAGGGGGGGGTGGGAGCCACAATTCCGTTATCATGGTTAACATAATTGGGAAGAAAATTGAGTTTGCTTGCACCTCATGCGATGAAAATAAAAAAATATTAAAATATTTTAATATTTCTTGCTTTTTATCTAATTATAGCTCCTCCTATTTTCAAATCATGTACTTAAATCCAGGTCGTTAACTTGGTTAACCAATTAATTAATCAAAAAGTTTGGTAACCAATTACTCTGTAACAATATTTCTTAATTAAAATTTATATCGTAATAAGGTTAATTTACTAATATACCCTCCATCATTCTAGATCTTTAATTCTGGCTAAAATTACTTTGAGAATTTTAAGATATTTATTTTTTATTTGATTTGATTTTTATTTTTGAAATTATTTATTTATTTATTTATTTTTGCCATCATATCTATTATTATTTTTAGGAAAATTGTTTTGTAAGTAATTATATTTTGTCCAATTTTTAATTTGGGATCTATACGTTTTATTTCTCTTGATTAAATTTTTTAATCTTGCTTTGTTACTTTGTTAATGTAGTTGCCGTTAGCGTTAGAATAGGAGCTAATAGTACTAACATAATAAAGTTATAAAAATAATAGTACTAATAGCGCAATGTTATAGAATTTACTTAATTAAAAGATAAAAAAGTACAGATATCAAAATAAAAATTCAAAGATAGTATAAAATGATTTTTTTTATTACATTGAGATAGACACTCAAGTAATTTAATTTAAATTTTATTTTTAAAATATATAAAAAAATATCAAAATTAAAATAAAATAAGAAAAATTTCAAAATCTTAAATCAGGAATAATTACAAAAATATGTTATCATTTGCTTTTTAAATGTTGTCAATTATTATTAAAATATACTACCTTTGGCCTTTAATATAAGATTTAGTTGATTAATTCAAGAAGCTTTAGAAAATTAGTTCAGTTATCTATTTGTAATAAATAGGTATTGTTTTTCCTAAAATACCTTTACTAATCATGCATATTAGCTAAAACTTTATTTTTATGAAATTTTTAATATGGGCAACTACTACAAAAATTATTTTAAAAAAATAGATAAATATGAGAAATAAAGTGGATTGGAGTCTTATATTTATGATCAAATTGAGTATCAAACTACCTCTTATATTAAGGATAAAAAATAGTAGTAAACAAAAAATGATTTAAAATTTCAAAATTAATAGATATCTTCTTTCGATTCTCCCATGAAACAAGCACACATTATTTGTGAGTAGTGACTGAGAGAAGATGGAATAACTGATGCGCTGGCGAGGTATGCTCTATCCACTCGAAATAGGAGGGGGATGGGCCAATGACAATGTGAATATATATACATAATACATATATATATATATATATATATGATGGCCTCGATCCCTTAAATCATGAAGAAATAAAAATAAAATCATATCAGATTAATTACATGCAAATTCTGAATTCTCAATGATTTAATCAAATAATCAGAAGAAATGAAGATTTCTGACCAAAAAAATCAAAATAAATAATAATAAAGGTAACAAGCAAAATTTTTCATTTTATTCTTGAATTGCAAGTTTACTGTTTTGACAGATTTAAGTGCCAGAAATATTTTGTTATAGATTATAAAATACTTAATTTTTTGATGCCAAAAAATACTTAATTTTTTTATTTTCCATTATTAGAGAATTGATTGTTAAGTATAACATTTATTATAATCTAATTGTTTACTCTCTTACTCCAATTTTAAAAATGTTATACTTAAAGCTAATCATATGCGGTCGCTTGCTCGTTGGTTTAGGACCTGGATTGAGAGTATATATGGAGAAAGAGAAAAATAATACTCCTCTGGTCCTTAATATAAAATCTATTTAACTAATTTGATTAGATTAAAGAAGTTAGGTAAGTTAACTAATTATAAAAAAATATAATATGTTTTTCCTAAAATACCATAATCATCTTTCTTAATATCCTCTCTTCCTTTTCTACTTGATTATGTTTGAAGGAGATATTAAAAATTGAGAAATAAGTCTTATATTTAGGACCAAAATTAATTTAATAATTAGATTCTATATTAAGGATCCGAGGAATAGAGTACATCACTGTAGTTGTAATATACCAGTCTAAAATCTAATAGGTTCTTACATCATAAAAAATAACAATACTTTTGATTTTGTAATATAAAATCTATTTTATACTGTAATTTACACTGCAAAGTGAATTTTATAGCAAAGACCGAAGTACTCAAAGGAGTATTAAAGTGAGGAAAATGTAAAAGCTAGGAAGGATTATTGTCTATTATATTTAATTAGTGAGGAAAAGTGTACCTTTCCACGTTTGTTGATAAATGATAATAGACGTGGAAAATCTTGTACTAACTACATTGCTTGTATTACAACGCGTGGCCACAAAACTCACAAACAAAGGCATTAACCAACGGATGAGAATTGAACAATTTTCCTTCGGGAATCTTGTATTCCATCTTTTTCAATAGATAAAGATTGGAAAAAAAAACAGTACTCTTCCTGTGCTCAATGTAGGACTTAATTGTTGAATTGATTTTGATCCTAAATATAAGACTCATTTATCATATTTATTAATTTTTTTAAATTATCTCTATAGTACTCCTTCATTATGATCAAATAGAAAAAGGAGAGAGATATTAAGAAAAATGATTATGGTGTTTTAAGAAAAACATCTCATATTTTTATAATTAACTAACTTACCTAACTATGTTAATCTAATTAAATTAGTTAAATATATCTTATATTAAAGACCGAAGGAGTAATAGCGATTTGATTATTTATTTTAGTCCATTGGCAATTTGATGCAAAACCATGAGAATTTGGGGACTAAAGGACGAGGAAACGTGAAACACGGTCGGTTCTGGCTGCTTCTGCACAGAAGCTGGTGTCCCCACTTCCCCAATAATGTTCTATCACCAACCTTCCTCTTCACTCATTACGTCCATCGTTGGATTATTATTTAATATGATTGGATTAATATTTTTTATTAAATAAAATACCTATTTAACATTGAATTCAAACAACTCAGATTTACATAAGATAAAAAGTAAAAAAAAAAAACATAAATATTATAATAAATATTTACCCTTGTGAACTATTCCGATTGAACTTTAAAATTTCAAATTTATTTATTTATTACAATTTTAAACTATTCAAATCAATTTTTTTAAATATTTGAATTTATTTATATATAATTTTATTTAATATTATAATTATATTTTTATAGCATATTAAATCTAATTATTGAGAGTTGATCTAATGGTGAAGATAATAAGTGAAGAGAAAGTGGAGAGAAAAGTTAGTAGAGACATTCCTCTCTTGTATTCTCCTGCTTTCACACGCCAAAAATGATGGAGATTGCAATGTCTCAAATGTCTAAAATTTACATATATCAGGGCCGATGCGAAAATTTGGCCCCAAAAAGGAAGAATTATAATGAGATCATAAGTAAAAAATAATTGCTACAAAGTCCTAATAACAAGTAGCTTGTAATGACTAAATTTCAAAATAGAAAATAATAATTTTTAAGACTTATTTTGTAATGATTTTTTAAGGAATTTATGTAATTCTCCAAAAAAAAATTGCTGCCACGACAGTAATTTTTCCTCAAACAAGCTGGGAATACAATAGAGTTGAAAATGCAGGAAAATGCTAAAAAATTGACATTTGAATTTTAAAAATCCCAAAAGTATACTTGAGTATGCAAAATTGCAAATAAGCCAGCAAGACTAAAATGAAATTTTAAAATGTTGGTAATTTATAATGTTACCCTTTATTTAAAAAGCAAACTCAAGTCACTCTCATCGGCAATCTCACCGAATAGCCAAGCGGCTGCTAATGGTCATTGACGATCAATGTCAGAACTTCATTGATAGGCAATTTTTTTTTGTTTTTTGGGTTCTGTTTCAATATTCATAATATGATTAACAATTCTTTTAATGAGTCTCACTCTCACAACCACATTAATGTACGTGTTTTTAAGCTTTTTAAACCGGGATTTTTTTCAACATTTATTTACAACTCTATGAATGCCATTAATCATGCTAGAATAATTAATGACATCTTTCCACTTTTTCTTGTATTAATTAGGAGAGAGTGGAGAGAGACAAAAGATAATAAAAATTGTATTTTGAAAAGATTATTTTATTACGTTTCAGTCAATTTTTCAAGAGTAAAATAAAAAATATATATTTTAGGACACATGTAATGACCTAACTACAATATCTTGGTTTGTGAAACAACTTAACTAACTTTTTATTGTTTGGAAAAGAGAGAGTAGTTTTCTATTTAGCATCAACCATCAATCATATATCACAAGCACACATGCCAGCATAAGTAGCAGATTAGAAATAAGATATCATTCCCATGAAGATTAACGCAAAAAGGGGTTAAATTTTGACCTTGAGTTTTCATTCAGGTTAAGCAAAATCATTTGAAGGTTTTTAAACAAACTAGAGAAAATTATGGACAGTAAAACTGCTTGATTGCAATGAAAATTAAAATGAAACTTCGACTTCAAGAATTTTGGAACCTAAAATCCCATTTGTACTTTATAAAACTTGATTGATTTCCTCTTAATCAGAATTTTAATGAAAATATGTGTTCATAAAAAATTCTGGAACACTTAATAAAGTTCTGTCAGGTCAAAAATTTAAAATCTAGATATTTTGGTCTAAAAATTTTTCTGGGCTTTGAATGCTCAGCTTAAGGTTAGGCATCCTCTGTGGCGTGTTTGCCATAATGCTATGCCTTTTATGAAGCCTATATTCAGACGTAAACGTACTCCTTCTCCAGTTTGCCTTTTATATATGTATGTGGGTTTGTGTACAGCATATTTATGTTTCATTTGATCCCTGCCAAAAAGAATGCAAAACACAACCTCTTATCCTTAATGCTACCTCTAGTCCTTAATATAAATATCGTTTGACTTTTATT